TTACTTTTCTTAGATGTGCTAATTGTATTGTAGTTTCATAAAAGAATATTCTTTTCCTTAAGAGATGCAAGCTGGAGAAGCTAGGGGTAAAAATTAAGATACCAACAGCTTTCCAATGCTTCAAGGAAAAAAAAAAGCAGGTGCATATGAAAGAGAAAGTTCACAAACATGGTAACATTAGCAGCTGATGAGTCTGGGTGAAGGGAATTGTGCACTCATTATCCTGTTCTTTAAATTTTTTCCTGTTTGAAAAATGTTATAAATAAAATGTTAAGAAATTAAAGAAAGAGGGAGGGAGCAATGTGTCCAGTACTATTTAGAGTCAAGAAAATCAAGGACAGAGAATTAACCATTGGATTTAACAACATGGCCGTCATTGGTAAGATGGTAAAAACACAAAGAGGGAGGTCTAGGGACGATCACAAAGAGTTCTGTAGGCCTCAACTTTGAGCACAATTGCAGTAAAGTGGTTTTTAGAGCAAGTGGTCTAGCAGTTTTGGGGAACATGGGTTAGGAGGGAAGGTAGGATCAGGAAAATGTCTGCAAGAGCATCCAACCCCCATGAAGGCTGGTGAGGGCCTGGAGGGAGAGATTGCTCCCAGCTACCAGGATATGTTGTTTGGGAGCTGAGGATGCAGGAACCAAGATGGTACCATTCACTAAAATTGCAGATGGAGGGGGGGATTTGATACATTTTAAAAGTGTACATGCCTTTACCCCTCCAACCCTATGAGTCATTCTGAACCTCGCTTCCTATACCTGCCGCTCCTTTTTGTGCTGGGGATCCTGACTTAGGGTATGAAGGTGACCCAGCAATGCTATTGTTTATGAAGTCTCCTCATCCTGGGAATCCCCCTTCCCACAACCCATTCCAGGTGTTTGTTGACAAGCTTTTTCCAGTGCTCCAGTCCTCCATGACTACTATGGGGTCATCTGTAAAACCTCTAGGCTTCACAATGTGCCCAGCGCTGATGCCTGCTATATGGTGTCGTTATGTAATGTTATGTCTGTCTTAACTTCCCAACTAGGTGGTCAGCTCCTTGAATTAGGAAAACCCATTTTATATCTCAAAATAGTCCCAGTGTTGCCCAGAATAGGTGAGTTATGAACTGGAAAAGAAGGGGGAGAGAGGAAGGAGAACATGGGTCATAGTTTAACACTCCCCCTAGAAGCTGACTGAGCTGACTCCAAGTCCTGGGGACCACTCTCTGCTTCAATGGATGGGGTGGAGTTATTTAGAGACCATTGCTGTGAGACCACTCCACCCCCTCATCCTGAGTTAGAATCCCTGGTAGCAAGCCTCCCAGAAACAGCCCACAGTGCTTTCTCCAGAAGCTGTTTGCAGTAAGTGACTCACCCAATTAAGAGCATCTACATAACAAAGACTCACCGGGCTGCAGAGGTCACAGAGACTGTGAAGTGTGTCTTTAGTGTGTGCAGCAGAGAAGGTTCACTAATTACCAGTCATTTCCACCCCTCAAGAGCCTGTCAGCCTTTGAGATGCAGGGGATAAAAGAATCCCCAAATTCCCACCCCACACCAATCACTTCTCCCTCCCCAGCCCTCCCCTGCATTTCAAACCTGTGACTAATAAGTGCCAGGGATGGGCCTCTGCCCACCTGGCTCAGAGCCGAAAGGAGGGAAGGAGTAGAAAATCGGTGGTCTCTATTAGGAGCCTTTTTTTTTTTTTTTTGGTAAAAAGGCAACTGGGAGGGGCAAGTAAGGAAAGAGAGTTCTGAAGACAAACCAACCTCTGTTAAACTACCAAACAAAACTTGTACTGTTTTCTCTCTGTTTATAAAGGTAATAAATGTTTGCAGGAGAACTATAGGTGTGCAAAAGAGAGTTAAAATCACCCATGACTCCACCCCCTACTATGCCCAGTGGCTGGACACATAAATACCTTTGCAGTCTACCTTCTAGTATTAAGTTTGGGTATGTGATGTCCCTGCTCTTTCATAACCAGTTGTTTTTTTGTTTTTTGTTTTTCATTTAATAATGTATCACCAACATCTCTCCCCACAGGTACATGGAAAGGATGTTAGAGCTAGCAGGAATACTGAACTGCGCTAGCAAAGAAGGGGCATTTGGGCATTAGAGCATAATAGAGAGGAATTAACAGGATTTCTGAAAGTTGAAGGAGGCCATTGTGAGGCAGAAAAGAACTATGACCTTCAAAACTTTGGCAAGTGGTTTCCCCTCTATGAACCTCAGTGTCCTCTTCTGTAAAATGGGGATAACACTACATACTTTATAGGATTGCTATGACGATTATGGCAAATCATGGTTGTAAAAGGGTTACCTGGGCATTGTTTTACTACTCATTTTGATAAGTGTTCATTTGTGCCTATTTTTTACTTAGTACTCTGCTAGTCTGTGTTGCAAATATAAAGAAAGCATCTGGCTCAGACTTGGAAGAGCTTTAAATCTAATTGGGAACTTGTGTGTGAACAGACAAACAAAGCTCACCAGTACACATTTAAATCACTAATAAAAGATATCCTCAATTAGTCAATAATTAAATGCCAGATAAGTGGCACAGGCAGCATGCCAGGGGATCAACGGTAACAGAGAACACAGGGAAAGAATAATAATGATGACCACTTGGAGCACTTTCTATGTGCCAGGAACATGCATTGTCTCATTTAATTTATCCATTGACCTATGAGGTAGGTATCATTATTATATCCATTTTGCACAGGAGGGAATTAAAAAATCAGAGGTTAAGAACTTTGCCATCAAGCCCTACATCCAGTAAATATGACTAGTACTGTTCTCAAGAACCAAGCAGTTGGTTCTTAAGTCATCACAGGCTGCTGCTCTATGACCTACATTGATGAAGGCAGGGAAGGAGAAGCTGAGCCCCAAGTCAGATGGTACTAGAAGGAACCTCAGAAGCAGTGAAGAGGGTCTGCGGGTTCAAGGTGGGAAGACCCCGCTGGCTGGGTAGCTTAACTGTGGGACAGTGCAGAGTAAGCTTTGACTTTGAAGACAAAACATGTGTTGATAGAAAATGGGTTGTCCAGGAGAGTTCAGAACAATGCAGGATCAATGAAAGCAGTGTTTGGGAAGTAGGGCTGGGAGGAGACTTCTGAGGAGGCTCTTAGATGGAGGTGGGGATCACTAAGGAAGCTCCCAGGGGAAGGTGGACTGCCATCCTTCCCAGAAAGCCCTTGCACCCTGACTTTTTATCTCTGTAATATTTTGGGCTAATCTACTTTTTATTCCCGTGACTTTCAGTCTCACTTTGGCATGTTTACTAACTCCTTTTGCACTCTGGTTCTGCAGGCTGTAACTCATTCTTCATTCATTGCATAGTGCTTACGAAACTCCCAAGTCAAAGGCAGAATCAAGCTACAGAAGCTGATGGCTAATTATGGTTAAAGAGGAAGAAGTCTGAAGATGATGCTGAGGCTACAGCAGAGCTGATCCTCACCAGACACCCCAAATATGCAACCCCCACCAGTCCTGGCAGACCCACTCTCCTCATTATCAGCTATCTCCTCAGGTCACTGCCTCAACTTCTCACTCACAGAGTCCTTCATGCCTGCTTAGAAGGCTGGCCCTACACCATAAAGTGGCAAAAAAAAAAAAACCCAAAACTTTACTTCTAAAGAAGCAGGGCAGGAAGAAGGGGGATATACCAAAGTCTTTGGCTCTTCAAATGCAATTCAGCAAATTTGAATATGGCACAAGAACTGTGTAGCAGAAAGAATTCCCAAGACCTATGTTTCAGTAACAACAGTATAGGGACTAAGAAGAATAAATATTTTTAAATGTCTTCACGTAACCAATACTTTTTGAACATCATTAATGTATATGGTAGACTGTGCAGGGGAAAAAGCAGGGTGACATCATTCATACCCTTATTTAGTATTTGGAATAGTGGGAGGGGTGGAAGGAAAGAAGTAGAGACTGAGATACAGAGAAAAAGTAAGAAAAAGGCAGAAAAAGCAATGCACCCAAAGGCATGAAGCATGTTGGCCAAGGTCAGGTGTTTGGGAGAGTATAGTGTGTAGGGAACACCTCCTACTTCTTCCTTGATTCTACCCCTGTACTTGCATATAAAACTTCAAGTGCTTTAGACTACCACCTTCCCAAAGAAGGATAGTCCAAAGATATTCCTATGCCATTGGTTGCATTCCACATTGAGTGAAGTAGCATGCACTGAAACTCTTATACTCTGCTGAGAAGAATCAGAGTTGAAAATCAGCTAAGGTGATCACTCTGGACACTGTCCTTTAATGCCTTACAAACCCTAATCAGACATAGTGACAGCCATTGAGGCTTGTGTGAGAGAAGTCTAGAAGCAGAGGAAAAAAAGTTTATACATTCTCAAACCAGATGGGATAATGATTCTTTTCTCACTGGGTTTTGATATGAGGTAATATTCTGAAGCTACCCAGGATTGTATCTAAGACCCAGAGGCATTTGATAAAATCATCTGAATATTAAGTATGTTCTCTCACTCAATTTCAACATGACTGGTTCTCTTTACTGAATTTACCACTTTTCCCATTGAGTTTGCCTGATTGGGATGGACATAATTAGCTAGACTGTTTGGTGTTGGGGTCCTTGCCAGTACCCCTCATAGGAAACCAATGGCACAACTCAGCACTGTGGCCATCAGACCTGTTTAGAAGAAGTCACCCAAAGAGCCAGGACATGCAAATCAACTGAAAGGAAAGGATCTCTCATAAGACTATCAGAAAGCTCAGAGAATTGATAAGATTGGAAACCCAGAGTTGGAAAATAGACCAGAACCAAGAGTGGCTAGGAAATGGGGGGGTGTTGTCAGCCCTGGTATGGTTAGGTAACTAGCTCAGTGACTGCAGTTATCACACCCAATGCAGCAGCAGTGGTCACCTCCAAGTTGCCTCACCTAGAGCCAACACCACTGCGCTGGGCACAGTATTGCTTCTGGGTTTTTCTCAGAGTCTCTTCTGCTGCTTGGTAGGGCTTCCAACCTCCCCCAATCCTCTGCTCACCCCTTGAAAGTCAAGGATCCTGTTGGTGGAACCTCAGCTGTCAGGAGCAAGAGAAAGAGGATACAGCCCCTTCAGCTTCTGCAGTTGGAAGCAGGCCCTGCATTATAACAAACAGGAAGGGTATTCAGATGCTGGGCAGACAAAAGTGAAAAACACTGCGTGTTCACTATTCAATTATTTATAGTAACAGTGAGGATAACAGTATGACCAGGTGACGCCAAGTGACTATTAGCTATCCTAAAATTCCAAAGCCATCCCTCAAGACTATTTGCTGCTTCTGAGGCTATGTCAAAAACTACACTTGAAGGCAAGTTTCTAAAAGGTTTCTAAAACCTTTTTTTGACCACCATAGTGGTATTCCAAGGTGCAACACAATTGGAAATATGATTAGCTGAAAGGGACAGGCAAAGGATATGTTGGACTACATTAAAACTCCCAATTTTATTTTATTTTTTTAAAGATTTATTTATTTATTTTATACAAAAACAGGAGTACAGGCCAGATGTGCAGGAGGGTGAGAGGGTTCACCAGAGACAGAGCGGGGAACAGAATAGGCAGACTGATGAAACATACTGCTGAGGGGAGTAGCAGGCACGACAGGAGAGGTCGGCCTCGCCATGTGGGACCCTCGCCAGCTTACCAGGATCGAACCAGCGCTGCAGAGGCTGGGACAGCTTCACAGCGCTGCGCTCAACTGCCTGCGTCACCAGGGGAGGCCCAAAACTCCCAATTTTAAAGCAAGCGGGTTTTATTTTTCTAACATATCTCTAGTTTTAGAAGTGTGGGATAGCTGGATGCGATTCAGTGTGTCAGTAATGTCGGAATTAAGTCTCTCTCTGCTATTCTCTTGGACTTTTCCTCATGGTCACAAGATGGCTGCCACGACTCTAGATATTTTACCCAAGTTCATGGAAGGAGGAAGGAAGAAAAAGGGGAAAGGGGCAGGGGGCAAAACATCTGTATCATCTCTTTTGACCAGGAAAAGAAAAGTATTTCCCAATATGCCCCCTCCTGCTTTGCTATCCCCTTACTTTTCTGCGTGCCTCATTTGATAAGACAAGGTCATGTAACTATCCCTAACTGCAAGGATAGCTGTGAAAGATGAAAACTACATCAATCATGAACCACTGCCTGGGCCTCAGATGAGAGAGAGGGGAAGAGATGGATATTGGACAGCTGATTCTAATTTCTTGTATCAAATTTGGGCATTGCAGGGAATAAGTATGGGAGATTAGTATAATGGGGAAAGGTGACAGAGGAGTGGGAAAATATAGAGCATGTGAGGAAATTAGATATGGCTGGGGTATAGAGAGCTGCATTTTTGGTAGTCTATCTTACAGAAACAAAATCACCGATTGCAAGGATATACACACAAGGGATTCTATTAGTGGGAAAAAATCTGAACAATCTATATGACCATCAACAGGGGACGGCTGAATAAGCGTGGTATATCCATTCTATAGAACACTATGTAGCTTTAAAATGAATATCTCTGTATCTGTAGACACATTTGTTATCATAAAAGAATGAGCAAACTACAGAGCTCTAATACAATCATTTTATATAAACAAGAAATAGACCCAAGTATATGAGTGCAGCTCATATGAGCATGGTGAGCATGGAGACAGAGAGGGAAGTAATAACCCAGCTTTTTTTCAATATTTTATTTTATATAATTCTTACATCATTTTTGCACAATGTATACATTTTCACTTTGGTTATATTCCTCATACAACTGCACCCCCCCCCCTTATTTTGACCCTAATCCTTCTTCTCCCTGCCCCTTCTCCCCACCCCAGTGTGTCTCTGGTCCATAGTTACTTGTTGATTGTGATTTTTACTTTGTATTAATTAGTCTTTTTCCTGGTCCCTTATTTAGGTTTTCTAAATTCCTGCTATGAGTGAGACCATCCGGTATTTTTCTTTTTCTTTCAGACTTATTTTGCTGAGTATTATCCCTTCTAGCTCCATCCATGTTGCTACAAACTGCATGTGTTTATCTTTTTTGATTGCTGAGTAATATTCCATTGTGTATATGTACCACATCTTCTTGATCCAGTCATCTATTTTTGGGCATTTGAATACCCCAGCTTTTTAACACTGGTATCTCAAGAGTCCGGGTAGGAAATGGAGAGAAGATCATAATGTTTTTCTTTATATATCTTTGAGTGCTTTGCTGGTTGAAGTTAACATGTCTCTTTTGTAATTTTGGAATGCAACTTAATCAAAGCTTTTTAAAAGTAGTTTGGAGCCAGCTGATAAAGAATCAATTGTTATATGTAGATGATGGAGAGCCACTGAAGATTTCTGGGCTAGGCAATGATGTGACCAAGAAAATTAATCTGGCAGGAATATATATATATATATATATATATATATATATATAATGAGTTAGAAAAAAAAGGGGCTGAGGATGGAGAGAACAGTCAGAAGTTTCTTGTAGGAGCTGCTTCACAAGTTAATAAAGAACTGAACTATGATGGCAATAATTGTGATGTGAGGAAAAGGAACGGGGGCCAGTAGAGCTGTGGGACATGCATGTCTAAATATTGGGGGGAAATAAATAAATAAATAAATAAATAAATGTTGGGGAAAATGGTCATGGGGGAGGGTAATTTTTAATTTAATTTTATAACCAGCACATCTAGCACTTTGAATAAATGGCTGGAAAACCATAGCTACTTCTCCTCTCCCACCGCCTCCAACATTCACTGACTTGACATTTATAATACAGAAACCCACAATTGGTGCAATTTTTCCGATGAGACTTGCCTTATCTCCCTTATTAAACTGAAAACAATTTAGGTTCTGAGAACACAGAGAATACTTACTGGTGGCCCCTAAAAGTGCAGTGAACCCCAAAGTTATCATTCATTCATTCAGCACAGTTGATGGTGCATATAAATGCTCTTCATTCCTTGAAGGAATAGCCCCGTTTTCTACTCCCTTGGAATTTCCATTGAATGAAGGGGATAGATTCTCAATAAGTCCCCAGTGATAAATGTTCTGAGAAAGAGTTACAAGAACCCTAGCCAAGTACCAGGTGGGAGGTTGGAGGGAAGTGGTGTTTAAGCTGAAATGTTGAGAGAACAGTGAGTGAGGTAAAGAGAAGAACAGAAGGTCATTCCAGATAGAAAGAAAAGTATTAGCAAGACCCCGAGGTGAGGTGAGGTGGGGTGAGGTGAGGAGCAGCATGGCACATATGAGTAATAAAAAGCAGCCTCTGATAGCAGGAGGTGAGGAAGGGGAGACAGAAGACAAGCAAAGGCAGAAAGGTGGGCTGAGGCAAATCAAGCTGCAGAGACCTTCCTGCCAGGAGCTCAACTTGATCCTAAGAACAATGAAAACCTAGCGGCTTTTAAGCAGAGGACAAACATGGTCTAATTTGCTTTAAAAGAAAAAAAAGATCATTCTGGCTTCTACGTGGACTACAGGGAAACAACAGGAAAGACTTATTGGTCAGGTTTACCCATCAGGTCCAGAGCTGCCCAGGGGCTGAGTTGAGCACACCCCAACTGTACCTTTCTCCTCCTCTGTGTGGATCCTGCTTCCAGTCAGCACTGGCCGCAGCCTCAAGTGGAGGTGATTAGCAGAGGGCGGACACTCCCCCTGAAGGTAAGTAAAAGCCAGGCAAGATTCCTCCGGTGGCAGTGATGGCTTGGCATGCTGGGAATTTAAAGAAGAGGTGAGACCATGGATGAAACAGAAGTGAGGCAAGACCCATTTCTTCTCTCCGTGCACAATTTATCTATAAAACAGGTTATGCACAAAGTGAAAACTCAAAAAGTGTTAGCTTTTTGCTCTTCCTAAAAGACGGGGTGGGGGCGGGGGGCAGGGGTGTGAGGGGGTGCTGTAGGCTCGGATATGGATTCCCAGCTGCCTGAGGGGACTACTGGTCGGCTCCCAGAGAATGCTTGGGAGCCCCGGGGGATGGGCAGGCCTCAGCGCTACCAAAAGACCAAAAAGTCTGACCAAAGTCTTACGTGCGAGTTTTCAGGCTGAGGTTGCTGATGTGTATATGCGTGTGTTCCTGTGACTTAAAAATTCTTAGAACCCCCAGGTGGGGGGAAAGCAGCAGCCCACCGCCCTCCCACGAGCCCCTGCTGATGCGCCAGGCCTCGGGAGACTTTGGAGCTCCCGCCGCCCACCCGGCGGGGCGGAGCCTGGAGAGCTGAGGGAGAGCCGTGGTGGCGGGGGCGGGGCCGGCGTGGCGGGGGCGGGGCCGGCGTGGCGGGGGCGGGGCCGGCGTGGCGGGAGGCGGGGCCGGCGCCGCAGCCCGCGGCCCCGCCCCTGGCGGAAGTGCCACCCGGCGCACCCCGCCCTCCCGAGGCCGGTTCCCCCAGCTCTTCCCGGGGCTCGCGTCCCCGGCGCAGCTCGGCTCCTAGAGCGAGTTCCGCCAGGGCCCCGACGCCAGGTCTGAAGAGGAGGCCCTGGGTCTGCTTATCGGCCCGTCTTCGGCTGTGCTCTCTGTCCCTTCCACTCCCCCGCCCTCCCTTTCATTTCTGTAACCGGCGCGGCGGCAGGCGCCGCGGGGGACCGCACAGGTAAAGCCTCGGCTAGTAGGGGCGCAGGTGTGGGTGTCTCCCGGGCCGGACGGACTGGGGCGAGTCTCATGGCAGGTGCCTGGCTCTTTTCCAAAGCGACTGTACGGACCGCGGGGATCCGGGAGGGCGGGTGCGGACCCCAAGAGAGCTGCAGCACTCTGAGGAGGCCGAGGGGGCGGGGCTGAAGCCCCCCAGGGCCTGGGGGCCGGGTTATTTGTGTCCCCGCGTCCTGCGCAGGCTCCGTTGTGCGGAAGTGGGGTGCGCTGGGTGGGTGGGGTGCGCTGGGTGGGTGGGGGCGGGTGCCGGCCCGGGCACAGGAGGGTTAGCGCCCCCCCTACACACTCGCCGTGGTGACTGGGGTCTGACAGTCGCCCCGCCCGGGCGCACACAATCTCAGGTTTGCAGAATGAAAATCAATAAAATCGATGCAGTGCAAAGACACGAAAACATGTTGGATTGTTATTATTTGCGTTTGTTAAGTTATTTTTATTTATTTATTTATTTTTACTTCTTTCTTGGAAAAGGTGACCGGCTCCGAACAGGGCCTCAAAGAGGGTCACAAAATGCTCCCCGGTTTCCCGACAGAGGCAGGGGCCTGTCCTTCGTACAAACTTCCTCCAGTTGCTGTGCCGGGTCTGGCGGCGGCCGCGGTGCACTGGGCTTCCGGATATGGCTTTGCACCGCGCCTCATTGTCGGCCCTTTAGGGAAATGCCCCCCCTTCAGTCCCATTTCCCGGGTTCATCACCCCCACGTCCCGGGGGCCGCGCCTCCTCCCCTCCTCCGAGCTCTCCCCGGCGCTTTAAATAATGATATTTGCATGCAGGGAGCGATTCATAAATATGTCAGGGCCGGTGAAATATAGGCAACATTTCAAACTTTCTATTTAAAAAACATGAATTATGGCCGCGGAAAATGTGTTCCCATTTAAAGGCGATACGAAGTATTTGGTGTCTCGTCCCCGGGCCCATCCATCACGCAGACAATAAAGAGAGTTTTTCGCCCTGACACCCGCGATTTATGGGCGCCCTTCTCTGCCCTCATCACTCACCCGCCGCGGCCGGCCTGGCGACAGGTCCCGCGGAGAGACCGGCAGCCGCCCCCCCTCTCGCCCCGGCCCGCGCGCGCACTTTGCGCCCTCGCCAGCCCCCCAAGACTGCGTCTCCCGGGGGCAGACTCCCGGGAGTTGGGAGGTCGGCGGTGACGGTCGGAGCTGCCAAGGGGGAAACGGAACCACAGTCGTGGTCTCACCTCTGAGCAAAGCCACTCATGGCCTGGGCAGAGCGCGGAGGAGCGGCCCAGTGTCCCCGCCTCGCCCACGGATCGCGGCACCGCGCCGGGAAGTTTGCAGCGCAGGCGGCGGGAGGTTATTTACGAGCGGGTTCGAAGTGAGGTGAGAAGAGTGGACAGGGAGCTCCCTAGGCCAATTTCTGGCCATTCGGCTCCTGGGAAGGCACACTCGTCCCAAGCTTTCATGAGCTTCGCCGGGCGGAAGCTTCTGGGCAGAGCTTTCTGTAACTTTCACAAAGCTGTCTCCTCTCTGGTGTGATCCCCACAAACACACCGTAGGCGGATGCGGCATCTTGGAAATTAATTTTTTTGGAAAGGGATCGAGGAATTGGCGAGAAATACGGAAGGGAAGGCCCCCCTCCCTAGCGTTTCGCCTCGGCCAGGCTCTGGCGCCTGGTGCCCTGTTCGCCCACCACCCTACCTCGCGCGCGCAGAGCAGCGCGCTGTCCTCCCGAAGCCGCCAGCAACTCTGCTGCAAACTTGCATGGAAGAAAGTTCGGACTTCATCTGCTGCGAAATTTGCTTTCAGTTTTCGCTGCGGGCGGACTCAGTCGGTCGGGTTCCCCAAGCATCCGCGGGGTGGGGGTAGGGGACTACCGGGCACCGCAGGACAGCGAGAGACCTCTAGACCTGAGAGCGCCGATAGTCCAGACTTGGGGGTCGGACTTGCAGCGGTTCAAGGATGAGGAGCCACCTCGCGTGGCGAGTTGGGCCGGTGCGTCTGCATATACGCGAACCGCGAGCGTTTTCCTGCAGGATGCCTGCGAGCTGGATTTATTCTGATACAGGCAACGCAAACCTCAGCCAGAGAAATCCCGTCGATGCTAAAAATGACAAGGTTGAATTTATTAGATCGAGAATCATGTGTAAGTGCAGGGAGATGGCAATTATACAAACAGCTCCATGTCCTGTGTGAACGGAAGATCGGTTCTGGCTTCAAGGGCATGTAATATAACATCTGAATATTTAGATCTATAGAAGGACGTTAAATATTATTAAATTTTCTGTGTGTGTACAGAGTTAAGTTGGAAAAATTCTATTGCAAGTGTCTTTTTACAGTCCCTACTTGGATATAACATGGGCTGAAGAAAGCGCTTAGGTACAACTAACCACTCAGCGAATATTTCCAATAGCCAGAGTGAGTTCCACATCGCTGAGGGGTGCGATATATGTACCTCTTTAAATATCTGCGGCGTGGCGGAGGTGAAATAAACCCATTAAAAAACAACAAGTGCTCAGATCGCTGAGCCACTTCATAGAAACAGTATTTCTGGGTGTGGGAGTAAATATCCCTACCAGGTGGGCTGTGGAACATGCCCACAAATAGGGGGGCTTTCGGAAGCCGGGGTAAGGGCCACAAACCAGCATCTCCTAGCGCCCAGCACATTGAGGTGGACGCTTTGCCATCCGCGGCCTCAGACCCCGGCGTGACTGCTGGGGTAAGCTCGGCTGGGACAGCCAGCACCGCTGCGCCTTGGGGATTTTCCCCAGCACACGAGCCGAGAGGTAGCCTTCTCCAAGCGCCAAACCCCGCATTTCGGGTATCAGGGTCTGGGGTTACTATCCCAGCTCTTCCCCCTCATGCACTTCAACCACCCCCTCAATTCTGACTCCACCTGGCCCTGGCTAGTACCATTTGGGCCTATCGATTTGGAGTGTGAGCGCGGAAAAGGGCGGGTCACGCTTGGTTCCGAGGTCCTCCGAAGCGCAAAGCCTGAGGCCACCGGGGGAAAGACCACGATTTCGCGCGGGGCAGGAATCCAGGCCCCTCCCGGCCCGCCGAAGGCCAGTATGAGGCCATAGAAGCGGTTATCTGGGTATATTTACTTATGAAATGTCGGGCACCCCCTCACATACTCCGGGCTGTGGCCCAGATCCCCGGTGGGTATCCTCCGCATATTTGCAAACCCCAGGCAACGCTTTCAGCGAGGTCCGCGATGCTGCAGCTGTGAAATTCCAATACCAAATACTAATTCCCGAACAGGACCCTTGTAACCGTCTACCCATCTCACTGCCAGGCTTTCTCTTTTTCTCTCGCCTCCTTCCAAATGCACCCAGCCCATCAACAGGCATCGAGCTTCAGCTTGGGAAGAAATGAGGAAGTGTTTTTGTTACGCGTTACTGGGAATTGCACACACTCCTGAGGCAGCCTTGCCGCAGAGAAATAACCCCGGCCCTGAGAATACTCTGCTTTGGAGTGTGGCTGCGCAGAAGTGGTATATACGGTACACAGTGAAGAGGCAGAGAGAAAGGGAAATATTTCCTGGCAAGTATGGAAAGAGTAAAGGAAGGGGGTGGGGGTGGGGAGAAAAAGGTTAGGGAGCCAAGGAAGAAGCAGGAGAAGAATTTAAAGACAGAGAGAGAAGAGAGGGAGGAAAAAAGAAGAGTCAGTGAAGTCGAGCCCAGAAGAGTACAGGCCGCAGCGGGGCCCCGAGCCCAGGCCAGCCCTTGACTGCAGCGAGGTGATTACCTCTGCGGCCCCTAGAAAAGGCGAGGGCCTCCAGGGACCGTCCCCCACTAGCCCCGAGAATCTGGGCCTGGCTCCCAGTTCCGAGGGGCGGGCCTGGGTCCTGGGGCCTCCGCGCATTCTTTCTCTCCCCCTTCTGAGAGACCACAAGGCGGGGCGGGACCCGAAGGGGAGGCCCCCAGGGGCGCGCGCCAGTCCGGGACTGTTTGGGCGCTCTGGGCCAGGCTTTCCAGCTCGCCGGGTCTGACCTGTCAGGCGGATTATCTTCGAGGGAGATTAATAGGGGAGGCGGGCTGCAATAATAATCGTTTTGTTTGATGTGACAACTCTGATAGGCGTTGATTTACTTACAAACTGATAGGCTTTTAATTGAGCGCCTCCGCCGAGCCCGAGATGAAAGAGAAGCGGCGGTGAAAGGCGGCCCGCCTGCCCTCCGGCCTCAATACTGATTAGCCATCTCGACAGTGAATAGTTCAAGGCATTTTCAAACTTTTTTCCTCAGCTCGCTCCCTTTCCTTCTCCTCCCACCCCCTCCTCAAATATCTGCCAGGCCCACTCTTTTTTTCTTAGAAAAAAACAAATCATTTCCATTGTGTGCAAATAAAATCCGCAGGACATCCACGCCAACCGCCGCTGGGGGTTGGAGGCTTTAGGCCTGGCGCGGGGTAATTAATAACTCCCCCACCTCCACGGTCCGCAGGGGCCTTGGGGATTTGGCCTCCCAGGCGAGGTGCGCAGGCTCCGACGTTGGCGACTCCTGAAAGCCCCCGGCTCTCAGGCCCCCAGGCGCCCC